AGCAATAAGGTGTAATTATTGGCAATAAGTTGAAGGTGATCTGAGTTTTTTTTTTTTTTGCCTTTTTTTTTAGTGTGATTTTGAGTAACTTTTAAATTGAAATTCAAAAAAATAAAAATAAAAATAAAAATTGCAAGCACTATAATTTAGGGATAGATTCTGTAAATTTTCTTATATGTGAAAATAAAAAATAACATAATAATTTAATGTTTTATTTTCTAATTAATTTTTTTAATACTTTCTAAAAAATGACTCTTTAGATATAGGTTGATTATCTGTATTTAAATTGGGTTATCTATTTGGGCCCGAACTTGTTCATTACAAGACAAGGCCCATGGAAAGAGCAATATTGGCCCATTCTATATTATGTAACCCAAACCGACTTGCCATCCACAACTAACTAGGGCCTGCCCTAGAATGTAATTCACCTACATTCAAGGTCAAGGCCCATCAGACAAAACTTCTTTTTTTTCATTTTTTTTTGGAACGCAACAAGTTGGCTTGGAATTTCTTTTTTGTCAGAAATAGACGCCTAAGGGGCTCTAACAAAACCTTCTTTTTTCAGCTAAAATTATTACTTTTATTATTCAATCAAAATGTTCCTTGTTCATAGGAACACAGAGAATTTTGAAGATTGAACAGAATATGAACCAGCTAAATTGTTTATTTATTTATTTTGAATTGAAGGAATCAGCTTTGAGAAAGAGAGAGTAGTAGAGCGTACGTGGAAAAAAAGTGAGTAACCTCTAAAATGGGCATTGTTATCCCTATGGAACCAAGGCTCCATATTGTTCTAATCTTTCAATTTGAGATAAAGTACGTTACATCTTTTCCTCTTCTTTTTCTGTTTTTAATTTGATATTAGTTTATGAGTTTAATTTTATTTGATGAGACAAATGATAGTATTAAATAATATGTTATACGTTCCTATAAAAAAAAAATGTTACACATTGAAAATATGGAAAAGAAGAATGAAACCTAATTTAAATATTTCGTGTTAATCCATGAGCAAAATAATGGGATTACTATTTCTAGATGTTCTAGATTTTTATTTCTTTCATCTTTATAATTTTGTTTTCTTGTACTGTAATTTTTTATAGACGGGGTCTCACTTTTACAGTGATGATAATCAATATTACAAAATGAAGTAAAAAAAAAATCAATATTACAAAATGGTTTTTTTCACTTTCGAGAAATAGGCTCTAAAAGAAGTAAAATAAGTTCGAGAACAAGAACTAAAGAACTTCATATCAGCCTAATGTCTTGCACATTTTATTTTATTACTAAAAGTAGATGGTGAAAGGTTTGAATTTCAAAGCAAGGGAGTAAAAGAGTTTCTCAGTGCTTAACTAAGTCAAAATTACTATTTTTACCTAGTACATCTGAAGATATGTTAAATATATGGACGATTTCTATACTTGAGATTATATATCAAAGATTTTAATCTCCTCATCTACCATTTACCTTTTTTTTTTAATCGTGTCTTTCCCTCCCTAATACCTTTCTCTCTCTAAAATAAAATAAATAAAACTAAAGTGAGTTTGTTCAAGACATTTACTTCTTCTCTTGAGTTGAAGGGTTCAAATTCTCATACTAAAGAAAGAAATGAAGATCCAATATGAGCATAACTCAATAACTAAGATGTCCATCTTCGATTAAAAAGTCGAGAGTTCGAATTCCTATCTCTACATGTTTTATTAGAAAAAAAAAAAGAAAAATAGGAAGAGAATTTGTTTTACCTATTTCTGTAATACAGTAATAATTTATGGAAAAATGTGTTCAGTATGACACAAACAAGTGGATCATTGTATGGGTTACATGGTGTTGCCTCTTGGGTATCTGATACCCCAAAAAAGCAAATACATTCCGTTCATATGGCTCAACTCTCTCTCTTTTGAGTCATAAGTTAAAAAATGTAGAAAAATATGAAAAGCGAGTTTGGAAAGCAATCGGGAATCATCTCTCTTAGTTGATCCTAGATGTAGATGGTACACGGATTTTGGTGCCATTTTAGTATCTAAATTGGGATATGATAATTTTAGAAGCTTAATTTTTCAACATGGTTGAGATGGCCGAGTTGGTCTAAAGCGGCAGATTAAGGTCGAAAGGGCGTGGGTTCAAATCCCACTCTCAATAATTTTTTCCCCTCTGAAACAATGTTAATAAACCGTGTAGCCCTCCGAGGATAGAATGAGGTTGGTGATGTTTTTCTGCTGATTTTCTATCTTTTTTATATTTTTAGAATGAGTAATCTCAAACAGAGGCATGAAGGTTAAGATGACTGTACACACTAAAATCACTACTCACGACTTGCAAAAACAAGGTAACTTTTTTGGGTACCATTTAAC